ATATATATATATATTTAATTTTTTTAAAACTAACAAATATTTCGATTAAACATTTTTTAAACGTAAATTGTTTAATTACTTGAGTACATACTGATGTCGGAGTGACTCCTTTAGCTCATATTAATGCAGCATATTTAGCACTAAACTTCATCGAGTGTTATGTACTAATTAAATTAATGAAGATCAGATGTTTCTCTTCAATATTAAATTTCAGAGTAAATACATTTCTAATGTATTTACACTGTTAGAAACGTTTGTGAATTTAGAATATCCTTACAATAAAAATGTGCAGTAAATTTATAAACCATAACATTTTGTTGTAATGTCACAATATTTGTAAATTCACAATAGAAATTTGTTGTGAATTCACTGCCGCACATGCGTATTAGAGATTGGCATATATTAGGTTAAGTAAAAAGTCATCGCGTTTTTTTAAAAGACATCTATCAGTAAAAACCGCAATTACTTTCTTACCAACAATATAAATATATCTTAATAGAGTAAAGTTTCAGCTTTAAAAATCTCTTTTTTAAATTATACGATACGACAATTTTTAATGGAGTTATGAGCAATTAAAGTCAAAATAATTCTTTTATTTAATCCGCGATAACTCAGTAATCAAAAGTCGTAGGAATATTTAAAAAAAACGATTTTGTAGGGAAAGTATCAAGCTTTCACGATATGTAATCGAAAATTTTCTCAAATTCGTTTTGGACACGTTACAAATCCACAAAGTGAGAAGAAAATTTTTCGTCTTTTTCAGCTCGTAGTTTTTGGTATGTAAAAATTATCAAACTCATATAAACTTAAAAAATGTGATAAGCTTTTAAAAGTAGAGATTTCAAGCTTTAAAACCCTTTTTTCAAATTTGAATTTCATTCATTATTGACGAAGATATTGTATATACAACTTTGAGCTAAAAAATACGCGATGACTTTTTACTCAACCTAATACTTTATCACAAAATGTTATTGTAATTTTTCATTTCTCTTATTGTAATTGTAATTTTGGATAGAAATTTCTTACAGTGTATACGCTATTTTTTTTTTGTACAGGATAATTCCATCTGTTTGCAATTAATACAATTGCTTTTTCAATGATAATCAACATATTTCGATGTCAAAACCAATAATAAAGTCAATGCACGTTCATACTAAAGCTACGGTCGGCAAGTACAGAATTTCTACAAACTCTACAGAACAGAAATGATATTCACGATTTCTCTGCATGGGCGGCCGTAGTTGACGTTATAACCGAAGCGATGTCGCTGGTGGATTGACTAGTGATTGGTTCTAGTGGCGGCACGCTAAAATGAAAAGAGAATAGTATTAAAATGTATATTATAATGTATGTAATAAATAATTATTAACTAACGTTTTTAATTTAAAATGATCCTACTATTTGTTTATTTGAATATTTAAAAAAATAAATTTAGACAGTAAAATATGTAATTTTATAATCTAGCAATAATATTTTAAAAATTTATATTATATTATTTACATATATAAAATTATATAAAATTTATATTATATTACATTTTATATTATTTTTATATCTTAATTTTTATAACAATTTATATTGTGTAAAAAATATCTCAAAATTATTGCAATTATTTTAATTCCTGAGTTTTTCGCTGAATTTTTTTGGAGTTAATTATTTTTCAACAAAACTAAAGTTATAAATGCATGTACTGAGATACTACACAAATAAATTATTTTTCAAAGTTTAAAATATGAAGCGCTTTATAGTTCCCAGTGTTAAGATGTTGAACTAACATTCCTTTACATTACATTAAATTAATTATTCAGAAATAAATTGAGAGCCGATAAATTATCGGATTCACACAATCATTCTGATAATCCCCCCAATTCCAATCATATTGTAAATTAACTTTATTTTTCTTTTTTGTTCGAAGTGTTTCCTCGATTTAATTTTAATTTTTTTTTAATAATTGGTTTATTAATAGAATTACCGATAACGTGCTGTATAATAATGTCGAAATATGTGCAAATCTTCTGCATTATAAATGAAGTGATTCGTGACTTACGTAAGAGTAGTTTGACGATTCAACACGGCGGCGGTAGGTAATGCGAGAGGTGAGTGTGCATGTCCTAATTGTGCTCCAGTTGGTGTAGTTACAGGAAGACAATGTTCTTCGATCCCTCCACCACCCCCACCGCCGCTTGCGTACATATTCAACTGCAACGAGTCCACTGCAATATCAATAAAAAGACAATATTGATCACAATTACTTTGCTCGTCATATTTCACGTGCTCATCATGTTTTTACATTATTCTTAACTTCTTTTAACGATACCTATATGTATTATATATAAATTGTATTTCAAGAAGATGTATGTATTATTTATGATGTTACTCTATGATATATCTAAATTTGCGTATTTCTAATAATACATTTGTTTACATATCTTCACTTATTTTCGTTAATTATAGATACGTATTGATACTTAAATTATAAAGATTTAAGGATCAGCTGATAGCTTCTTATCACGAATGAATATTCGAGATCTCAAATATTCATCGAATAATCCATACGATTATTAATCGACTTTAATCTTTATTTTGCCGTTTACTTAAAAAGTGCCCCAAGGTTGTAACGTGATTTTCAAGAAAGATAAGCGTATATAATTCGAATAAAATTTTTTGAATTTTTCTTCGTTTTTATCTATTTTTATATCTTCAGCTTTGTAAAGCTGAAGGATTTTGACTATATACGACAACTGTATGGGATAACAATTCGTTAAGTCAAAAGAATATAACAATTTAATTGTAAATGAAAAATATC